CGCACTGTTGGTCCAAATTGTCCCGTGTTTGAGATTGACTGAATCACGTGCAAATTTTTCTACAATTTGTCTTTCCCATCCTTCACATGTGACAAAGTCAGAACCTTGTGAATATGGGGAATGCAAATTATCTACCATTTCTTTGTTTCACTATCACTGGGTGAAACATCAGATGTATTGCAAATTAAATGGACTTTGCATATAATTTGTTGAACAACATAAACATTCTGTGATATAAGGCAGTGGTTTCAAACTCTTTTAATCTGAGGCTCTCATGATTTGAATAAAGAAGTTTGAGGCTTCCAGCCTATAAAAATGACTTAAAATGTGATATGGTAATGTCAGAGAATAGTTACTAATGAACCCTAAAGATGTATAAAGTGAAGCTTTCGTGGCAATCGTCATTGATGAAAGAGTCTCAGGTTATGGTTTATTCACCATTCAGCCACCTGACGCAGCTTGTAACGCGAGAGTCTTTCGTCAACCTTAAAGATGTCTATGAAATGTTTGTTGTATTAAATTTTGTGTTTATAATTTAATGTAGTGTTTCTTCTTATTAATTTATATGTATTATAATTAGACCATTAGCTACCACATAGAAAGCTGTGCGGTCCCTGGGGGGAGGGGTTGCGGCTCCCACTTTGAGAAATGTTGATGTAAGGAATTACTCTGCGTTGGTGTCTGTATAGTAATTATTGGAATTTTATTTTTGTGAATATAAGCTGTTACTAAATACGAGCTACATCTGTTTCAGAAAGTAGGTTGAAAGAATAATGCTTACATGGAATGACAATAGCACTGCTGAAATTTGGATAGCACATATTTCTGTTTGAAGTTAAAAAGTGCATAAATATGTGCACATGACTTTGTCAGACTAATGGGTTGACATCAAGCCTACAAGAACATAATACAGAAACCTAAACATTTATGTTCCCTCAGTAGCTGCATTGATGATGTAAACATACCAACAGTTGTGTGTAATTGCTCTTAAATGTATCCAATAAACACAAGTTTTGTTCATTTTAAATTGTCTGGTGATATGATATTGCTTTATCTTTCGAAGGACTGTTGAATGTTCGTGCTATTACCACAGATAGAAGCCAGACACTGGGACGTCATGATACATTTGAGTTTGAAGGTTTCTGATGATGGTGCAACACATTGTGTTAAGTTATCTTCTGTAACATCCTCCATTGTGAAGGTGTTATTGAAACCACAATATTTTGGAAGTTCCATTCTCTGTGATTTGTAGGAGATTTTTTTTTACTTCTGTGCTGTGTTCATTAGAGGAAAACATAATTGAGGAATTTTATGCACCATATATTATTATTTACTATTTTATGTAGGTACATGAAGAGACTGGTCATATGTTACACTTACATAAAACTGACAAGGAAACAGTCTTGATAAAATTTCAACTTGAAAATAATTCGTATAACATAGATACAATGTAATTAATTGTTAGTAGTGAAGTCACAGGAACAATCATTCATTACTTTACTATATATAGTATCACTGAATATGACAACAAATTAAGGAATCTAAAATCTTAGTTTAATGATTTAAGGGCAATATTTAGGTGTAATGACAGGACTGTTTTGCTTATTAGTACCATTATGAGATTGCTCCTTCAGACTTGTACTAAACGTCAAACTTAGATAACGATCAACAGATTGCTGTCCCATAAAACTTGAAACTATTAACATAAAATAAATTAAATAAAAGATTTATTTACATATTCAAAGACATTAAATATAAATGTGGAATATGGTACTGTCACTGATTAAAGAAGTTTAAAAGGCTACAACAGTAAAAATAATTTAAACTAACTGTAAAAGTTACAAATGTTAAACTAATTTATACTATCTATTGTACAAAATATAGCCACAAAAGAGGTTTTTTGAATAAGAGACTGAAATTTGTCAGCAGCATGATTTGTTTTTGGATTTGAGTAACAGCATTAATTTTTTTGGATTGCCTCTCCAAAATACCTCCACAGAACCCAATCATAGACATGCTGCCACCTGTAAAAGTGGATAAAGAATTGAATATGTTTATATTTTGGCAAAGTGGAAAAAGCTGTTTCAGAGAGCTGAAAAATTCAGCAGCACTGTTCTTCAAGCAGAAATTGGCAAGACTAATATATTTAAGTTCTGTTACCATGTTTTTTTTATCTTTTAATAGCACAAATGACATGATTATTGTTTTTGGCATGTGCCCTTTTCACACTTTTTGCAAGTGTAAGTGGTTTCGATAGAAGAAAATCTCACAATTATATAACAACATTTTATATTATTTAAAAGACTGTTATAAATAAGTTTTAATATACATTTCAGACCATCATGTTCGTTTCTAGTCCAGTATTTTATTCATACTGGGCCTCTACTGGTTGTCTCCTGTAAAAGTCCAAAAATTGTGACAATCATGGTCAGTATACTTCATGATCTGTTTGATGTCATTCCTCTTTTTTGCATTTGTTGGGCACATGCTATTAGGGAAGGCTTTTCTGTTTGGGGCAAAGGAAGCCTGAAATTGTCTGTGGTGATAACTTCTTCTGGTCTCATTAATACTGTGAAATGGAAAAATTGCCTTTCTGTGCCTTGGGAATAACTTTACCAAAGGACTGAACAGGCATTACAATCTTTTATAAAATTTTGACCACCACTGTTTCTACTCTGCATTGAAGTTGTCATTGTACAAGGTTACTGAAGACTTCCCTTTTTTTCTTGATTACTCTAGTCAGTTTGCAGTCTTCTTCTGGTGTATACAAATTTTGTGTAGAACTTTT